TCTCTACTAAAAATAGAAAAAATGAGCCGAGAGTGGTGGCACGTGCCTGTAATCCCAGTTACTCCGCAGGAGGCTGAGACAGGAGAACCATTTGAACCCAGGAGGTGGAGGTTGCGGTGAGCCGAGATCGCGCCATTGAACTCCAGGCTGGGTAACAAGAGCTAAAAACTCCATCTCGAAAAAAGAAAACAAAAGAAGTTTCTACCTTAAACTTTTCGATTCCAGTTCTAGAATCAGCAATTTTTCCAAGGAGATCAGATTTCTTTTATGATAAATATTTTGGGACCAAAATCATGGCTTTTGTTAATTATTAATGGAATTTTATTTTATGTAGGCACTCTTAATAGCAGAACTAGGAAGTAGTATCTGTGTGTGAATGTAGATATATGAATATACCTGTATCATTTTCTATGTCTGTCTTTGTATACTAAATCCACAAATTGCTACTGATACATGCAATTCAAATGTAATACCATAAGATGTGTTAGGATGTGGGGAACAATACTTCAAAATGCAGTGCTGTGGCATGTTGAGTACTTTTGTATTAAAATAAATTAGAAAACCTTAGAAGCAGCCTTCAGAACCAAAAACTTTGTGTGTTTTAAACCACAAATACATTTATTTCTCTAGAAAGAGTATGCAATCGCTTCAATTTTAAAATGTTATCAATTGTCTTTGAGATTGCTTACTCTTACTAAGCTGATTTTTAGAAATCTTAGCCTGAGCAGACCAATTCACCGGCACCATTGTCCAGCAAGCTATAAATCCATCCTGTGCTAGAGCAAGAAGACACTTAAGATCTATTCAACAAAATAGCTTTAAGTGTTTACACAAGGGGTACTCACAGCCATCTGTCACACATTCCAAAGCTTCATAACCCCCTTTTAAATGGTCTAACTTCTAACCCAGTTTCTTTTTATAGTCTGAAAACAAGTAATCACCCAAGTGAGATGTTCCTTCAGTGTATTGTTGAAAATGGATCAAACATGGAGCTATCCCAGATCTTTGTTCTTAAGTGTTAAAAATATTTTACATTAGCAAATAGAATATCCTTAGATATTCTGTTATGTCCTAATGAGTTTGCATTCACCCTTTTCAATAATGTCTTTAATTTCTTCTGAGACCTTTCTTTTACAGTCATTTGGTTCTATTGCTTTTAACTACTTTCGATACTCCAGTGGCAAACTCTTTTCTTTTGTACCCATGCAAAGAACCTTTTTATACTGTCTTGATGAAGGAGCACTCTTACACTTTCTCATCAGGTAACTTTGACAGGTTATTTCTCTCTCTTGTTGAGATAAAATTTTAACCGCTATTACAAAATCTATTCCACTATTTACCTTTCCTTGCCTCCATACCAAGTTTGACTAATTAGGCCTTAGGAATTGCCAAAGTCAAGCTTAAAAATCCTGCAGGCAGGCTACGCAGAAGACCACCACTGAGGTTGCTGCTGTAGGTGAAGTACAGAAAGCTCTCCCCAGCCTGGCCTGGGACACCCTCACAGCCTGCATGAGAGTCTAGAGTGGGGCTGTAAGGAGTGAACAGAGAGCACTGTGCAGTGGCCAATGACACCAGCCCAGTGACCACCACATCACCACCTCAGGGTTAGTAGACTCTAGACCTTTCTAATCTTGTCATGTTTCTCCCTCCTCCTCCTCTACAAGGGCAGGGAGAGGCTTGCTCTGGAAATTCCCTTCTCTGATAGAACTTAGAAATTCAATTGCCTTAAAATCTCCTCTCTGGGAATCTCATCTCACTAAATACGTGGGAGCTAAGCTATGAGGACGCAAAGGCATAAGAATGATACAATGGACTTTGAGAACTTGGAGGAAAGAGTGGAATGAGGGTGAGGGATAGAAGGCCACAAATATGGTGCAGTGTATACAGCTTGAGTGATGCGTGTACCAGGCTCTCAAAAAACTCTGCCAAAGAACTTACTCATGTAACCAAATACCATCTGTACCCCAATTACTTATGGAAAAATAAAATTAAACAGTAATAATCAGGAAGATAAACAATTTGGGTTGAGAATAAATTAAAAGTTGTCACCACACCCAGAGATACTTTTTATCTGTTCTGAGGGCAGCTTTAAATGATTACTGAAGAGACTTTATCAGCATAGGAGAACTCTTGCTCACATTTGCAGTTTCACCTCTTTCTATAACTTTTTGGTCTCATTCAGCTTGCAAAGAGAATAATTTACAGACTATTGCCTTCTCCTTGGGCCCAATCAATTGTCCTAAAAATTATTTACAGCGCCTCAAATTTGTCTATATTCCCCCCACCTCCCTCTTCCCTACAAACAGGGTATATGAGCTTTAACCACCTGGCCTTTCTTCGAAACTCATTTTGGGTATTTGAAAAGGAACTAACAGCAACAAAATAAAATTAATTTTAAAAAGCATAATATTTTTCGTGACATGCCTCCATTCTAAATATCATAATTATATTTAAATAAATGGCCCAAACAGCGAATGATCAAGGTAACTTTTAAAGTTACCTTATTTAATACTTTCATCAGAATATTTTGGACGGTCCTGTTGTCACAGGCAAATTAAAATGGCCAAAAGATTTGCAAAACATAAGAAAATATGGAGTCAGCAAATTATAAAGTGACGTACACTTCATAATTTTATATTTTATATACATATAGACTTCTGCTGTTTTCCACATTTTAAAAAGCCACATTGATGAGCTTAAATTTCTGTATTTCTGCTTTCTTTCTTTATCACCAATCTTTATGTGTTATTTCAGGAAGAATTAAAAAACTGTTAAAATAACTTATTTACAGGTAATAAATTGTGTAGTAAATTCAGGGCCTATTGTGTCTTCAAGACAAAAACAAATAAATAAATTGTGTAGTAACAACCACAGTGGTTCTTGATCTTGGACAAGCTTCCAGCCATTTCGCTGTGATGTAATAGTCAAAGTCCCGACGATCACAGCGATAGTTAAGTGGTATTTACTCACATGTTTACAGATGCAGTCTATTCTGTTTTGAAGCCACAGCAGAATTAGCCAAACAGGAAGAAAGAGGTCATCACAAAACACTTTAATTTTCTCCAAAGAGAAAATTAGGTGGCTGTTATCAATTGCCTTTATCAACTATTTTTTCTAAATATCTGCATGCAGAGCTGAAGTCATCGATAAGGCCTGTGATTTGAGGGGGAAGCAGGGAAGGTGATGCATTAACTGTATCATTCGTATTTTTCAAGTGCACATTTCTATAGAAGCATATTCTGGTATTGTCAACCCACAGACTGGGAACAAGCATAATACATCAGAAAAAGATTGCCTTTGCAAAATCTTTCACTCTTTTCCCCCTATATTACATCATTACTTTTTTCTTATAAAGGAAACTAAAATACTACTTAACTTTCCTAACCAGCTTTACTTCCTCACTTCCAATCTATGTTATCTTATTGAGTGCAGCCTCTCAGACCTCTTTCTATGCATTATATATGCACATATATGTCCACGCCAATATTCTTTCCATTATCCAGGTCACCTAAAGAAAGAACAGCCTTAGGCAATTCAAGCTGTGCACTCAGCCACATATCTTATTTTATCTAAGTTTATTTAAGTGAAACATAACACACAGTTCAATGAGAAAGAAAATAAGCTACAGAGAGGTACCCTGTGGTTTGCAATGTGAGAGTGTAGAAAGAGTGTTAGACTTTATCTTTCCAATGGTGAGGGTAGTTAAGGTAGAAATGAAAGAGGTTGACATCTTTCCTCCTTTTTTTCTGTTTCTTTTCCCTATTTTTATAAAACTCTAGTAGGGAACAACCTGTGAAAGCCAAGCTACTACATTAATTTGAAATGTTCTGTGGTTAAAAATGCTTCCAAAATAGATGGTAGATGGCAGTGTTTTCTGTTCATCTCGATATTTGGTATTATTATTGTTATTTCAAATAGAAATACTATTCTCCACAGATGACAAGTAGCAATCCTGGCCATATTTACTGTGAGCACAACTTTTAGTAAAGTACTTGAACTCAAAGTTACATTATAAAACCCCTGGTGCCCGCATTTTATGTGCAAATACATAGAACAATAGCTAGTGATGAAATGTATCCTGGATGTTGTAGACATACACTTCAAATAATAATATAAGAGGACACCAGAAATGATAGAAGATGTGAGCTGAGATCATAACACCTGCCTTCATCTCACGGACACAGCAGCTGCAGAGATGCGTCTGTCATGTTCAAGCATCAGTTAGGGTCCTCCACACAAGCTATCCGAAGTGACAGTTGAGATCCTTGTAAACTGAAACTTCTAATCGCTTTGGCTTCTTTTGTTCACATTGGCACTGCATGATTAAAGCTGTTTTGTATTTCATTGAGAAAGAACAAAAGATAAAGACATTTCCAGAAGGCCCAGGTGCTCAAGGGCAGAGAGGAAGGTGCCTGAATCCACAGAGGGCTTGGCACAGCTCTCTTCTGCTACAATTGGCCTAGAACACTACAGATGGGTTGTGTGTGAGGTGATAAAATGCTTGGGAAAGTGAAACGACTCCTGAGGAGAGGAGCCGGCAATAGCAAATAAGGCATTAAATTGGTAAAGGAAGTGAAAATTTAAACTCACAAACTCTAACAAGAACTGCTGGGTATATACAACTCCCAAGTGCCCAACAATTTTAGATGAATTAAATGGTTTTAGGAGTTTACAAAAAGAGGCAAATGTACTTACATGGATCAGTACTTAAATAATTTTGCTTTATTATTTCTAGTTTATTTTACTAAAGGTAATTTTATTTATAACCCTTCAGTTCGTTTAAAATAAAAACGAAAGCTATCATCACAATAAAACACAAAAAGACTATGGTCAATGTGCAATATATTTTTTAATTAAAATTTATTTGGAGAGAATGGTAGATTTAAATGTGGTTGTAAGAAATAACCTGGAGAAATCCTGTGTATCTCTTACCAGCTTACCCAATGATAACATTTTATGAAATGATAGTACAATATCACAACCAAGATACTGACATTGATGCTGTTGAGATACAGAGAGTTCTATTACCACAAGGATCCCCAGATCATGCCATGCATTTTAAATCCCCAGATTAGCAGACCTAAGTGTTAGCTTAACACATTAAATTAAAAGCATGGTGCTGGGACTCACATAGACTATATTTGCTGTTTTTGAGGAATTGAAAACACAATTGGGTAGAAGGTACATAAAGGTGCCAAGATTTGACAGTATCTGGCACTAAGAGTTGTGGTAAGAATTAGTATTTATTTAGTACCATTTAAGTATCAAGCATTCTTATCATTTAATCTTCACAACTTTTTGAAATAAGTATAATTACTATTGCCATTTCACAGATGTGAGAATTGCACTTCTTCCGTTAGGAATACATGGAGCTAGAATTTAAACCTGTCTAGACAATGTGTCAAATGAGATTGAGGAGGTAGAGCTCTCTGGAGGACCGTCAAGATGGAGACCCAGAAATTATGAAATTTGGATTCCATACAAAACGTAATTAGAACGTAGTTAAGGAGTATACAAATGTGTTCACAAAAAGGGGAAGGAGGAAGATGTGCAAGAAAAATAATCAGTAGTAGTGACTAGAAGAATTTGTCCAGGATCTTGAGCAGATTGGTAGAGTTGGGAGAAAAAGAAAGTATTTATGTTGAATGATGATGTAATAAATAAATCAAGTATAATGATAACATTTATCAATGTTGTGGTAGGCCACATTCTTGGTACTTTACATGTGTTATTCCATTTATACTGGATGATAACCCTTTTCCTAATTTCCTCAAAATATGTTGACTACCAAAACTACTGCTGTTACAGTAAGTAAACTGTGTACTTTGGTTCAATTGAAATAGGAAAATTGTGACTGAAGCAAAAGACAAAACAGATTCCACTCTCAGTCAGTTTATTTGGGCTGCTATAACAAAATAGCATAAAGTGAGAGGCTTATAAATGACAGAAATGTATTTTTCACAGTTCTGGAGGCTGGAAGTCTGAGATCAGGATGCCAGCATAATCAGGTTTTGGTGAGGGTCCTCTTCCACTTCATAGATGGCAGTGACTCTGCCCAAATCTCATCTTGAATTTTAGTTCCCATAATCCCCAAGTGTCATTGAAGGGATCTGGTGGGAGGATATTGAATCATGAGGACATAACCCCCATGCTGTTCTCATAATAGTGAATGAGTTCTCATGCGATCTGATGGTTTTATCAGGGGCTTTCACCTTTTGCTCAGCACTTCTTCTTTCTGCTGCCTTATAAAGTACCTTTCTTCCTCTCCACTTTCCATCATGATTGTAAATTCCCTGAGGTTTCTGAGCCATGCAGAACTATGAGTCATTTAAACATCGTTTCTTTATAAATTACCCAGTCTTGGATATTTCTTTATGGCAGCACGAGAACAGACGAATATAGCAGTCTTCTTGTGTCCTGACTTGGCAGAAGAAATGAGGGCACTCTCTGTGGTCTGTTTGGTAAAGGCACTAATCCCTTCAGTAACCCTCATGACCTAATGATCTTCCAGAGGCCGAACATCCAAATATCATCCATCACATTCCAAATAGCATCACATTGGGGATTAGGTTTCCACATATGAATATTAACATGAACATTCAGTCTGTTGTAGGGAGTTATTCAAGATCTGATATTTCAGGTATTCTTGGCTCCAAACCCATTTCATGGCTCACTTGCAACCTCCCCAGATGAGTAGGAATTTTGAAATGGGGGTAAGAGGGGATCATTCTATAAATACGCTTGTGGTCATTGCTAGGACTAACATGTAAGAATTTTATTTTTTACCTGCTCCCTTTGCACTACCATATTTTTTGCAAGCTATTTAGTAATGGTTGGTTTATCAATGTAATTGTTTTTCCTGTAATAGACATGTTGGTGCAATTACTCGATATTATAAAAGGTGTCAAAGGAAACTGTGTAGACCACTAAGTCACGACTACCACCTGGCAGCAGACAATTTTAAGACTTCATAGATTTTAAGGTACATCTGAATTTAAGAAAGGTTTGACTGTGGGGAAAAGAAATCTATCTTGGAATCAATACAAGTAATTAAGGGCTAATAATTATTAAGCACTTATACCTTTGATTTTATATTCATTTTGTCTCTTATCTAATTATAGAAGTTTAGAAACTAATTCTCCCCCAAACCACAAAAATGGTCTTGGTATGTATGGTCTTTCTTGAATGTATGACCTATCCTCTCACCTCCTTCTCCCCAGACATTTCTCCCACCATCCTTAAATCATTTCTTCTAAAATTCACGTTCATGCATATCTCTTTGGACCAACTTTTTAAGCTAGTCTCTAAAAGTTCAATTCCCTGAACTACTGCTTCTGTTCTGGTGTGTCTTCAAAGCTGCTCATCCATTCTAAACTTTGCTCTGTTCATGGAGTAGAGCCTCAGGGGCAAGTTGTGCTATTTCCCTGAGTCAAACTCTGCCCTTCAACAAGAGTCAACAGGTGCCTACAAACTCCTCAGGACACACTTTAGCAGCTAAGTTTTTTTCTACCATCTTATAGGTAGCTGTAATTCCAGTTTTCAAGCCATGCTTTTTAAAAAAAATAAAATAAAAAGTGCTATTAGAAAACAACAGAATTTATGAAATGAAACTAGTAAACAGATTTTTCAATGACACAAGACAGGGCCAAGGTGGTGTACTGTAAGGGCTGCTAGATGAAATCCCCTGGGGCAAAAAATATATATTTTCCCCAGACAAAAGAAAATTTCTGAGAGCATTTGATTAGAGAATTGAAATAACCATTACTAAGGCTTCCTAAGGCTTTTTTCTTTTGTGGGAGGGCTGTCAGGTAAAAAACAAGACAACCAGTTAAATTTAAATTTCAGATAAACAATGGATAAATTTTAGCGTAGGTGAATTATTGTTGTTTATCTGAAATTCAAATTCATCTTCATGATCTACATATTCGTTTGCTAACTCTGACAACCCTACCCTAGATATAAGAATGATACTCTCTAGCCCCAGAAAACAATAGGAGGTCACATGACAAATTTTGGCTAGAAAAATGTCAGTAGAAGTAGTATGTCAGCTCCAGACTGAGGTTGTAAAATGTCCCTAGAAAATATTCCAGCCCTTTCTTCCTCTTCCATGGCAAATAAAAGATTTCACTTCATATCTTATTCTGGATAATAAAAAATAATATTTATTAATGGGTGTCCTCTCTTTGCATGCCTTAAAATATGTATAGTTCCTAAAAAATTGAAAAATGCCAAACTTATCTAATTTTTACCTTCTATTTGTCTGACTTATCTTTACTATTTTGAATTTCCTTCTCTGAATTCGCACTTACAGGCACTGACCCACTGACCCAGCAGTATAGACCATTGTTGATCCAGCAGTATAAACCATTACAGATTTCCTATCTCAAACCCAGGGAAACAGGGCAAGACTTATGCATTAAAACCAATAAGTCTGATTTACAACATCCATCAAATCTACAGAAGCCCCCTCCTCAGAGTGATGTAAACTAAGTTTTCTTCATGCTTATCAAGGATGGTTAACATAAAGTTTGATATAAAGTATCATTCAGAGCACAGTAATACCTCAGGTATAAGACAGAAATAGTACAAAATAAACAAAACTAAAGAAGTAAGGCATACTTGGCATGGAATATATTAAGTATGATTTGCTGACTGAGTACCTGACTAAATTAATAACAATGAATAAAATAAAATAAGCCTATCTTCTAGAATTAACCTTTTCAGGCCTGATTTCTTATGTCCATTGAAAAAAAATAGTAATCCATGGAGGTAGAGGGTAGAAGGATGGTTACCAGAGACTGAGAAGGGTATTGATGGGGTGAGGAGGTGGTGGGGATGGTTAATATGTACAAAAAAAATTGGAATGAATAAATAAGTCCTAGTATTTGATAGCAAAACAGGATAACTATAGTCAGTGAAAATTTAATTTTACATTTTTAAGTAACTAAAAGAGTATAACTGGCATGTTTGTAACACCCAGGATAAATGCTTGAGGGGATAGAAACCTCATCTGCCATGTTGTGATTATTACACATTGCATACCTGTATGAAAACATCTCCCGTACCCTATAAATATATGCACCTACAGTGTACCCACAAAAATTAAAAACATATATTAAGAAAATACTCTCCCTCTCTCTCTCCGTGTGTGTGTGTGTGTGTGTGTGTGTATTTTTTTTCAAGCTTTATTCACCTACAGTAGGGGAAGGGCTGGTATTATGGAATAATAATTAAAAATTAGTAACTTGAAATAACACCAATCCTAAGCTTTCCCCTGATTAGAGCAGAATAGAAATATTGTGAACTTTGGAGAGCTTAGCAAAGTAGTAGTTTGTTTTATGCTAAAATTAGATCCGTTTTTAGAAACAGTACTTTCTTTCATACGCAGTATCAGGACTTGAAGCACGACCCATTCCTGCAAAGCTGTTATGGCTTGGTGGTTAAACTAGGGACATGTTTAAATACTACATAACTACTCTATAAAGGAATTTCTGAGAATTTCAGTTTTGATTTCCAGCCTAAAGATCAGATCTGTAACTTGAAAATACAAATTGGAGCGAGGTAAAGGCAGCAAATTGAAGTTAAAAACTCAGCATTACAAAAGCTAGGCTGCCAAGTCCAGTTTAAAAGCAGATGGGATGGGCAGAGCTGTGGTTCAGGCTCACAGACCAAAAGAAGGCAGGGCTCCAACTGGGATCAAAGGGTCTCTGGTTTTCTAGGCTGATGGTGTTTGTACCAGTCTAACTCTGCCTCCTCCCTGTATGGCTGCCTGCCTTTTTGATGACCTTTAATAGAAGTTAAGTTATATTTTTCGTAGATGGCCATGGCAGAGCTGTACTAGAACCCATGGCAATGTTTCCATTCTAAACATGGAACGTATATTGAGTTCAGAGTCACACTGTGACATATAGTGGCATACAGCGGCATATTTGCCTGAATGTACTCCTTCCTCTATATTAATATATAGAATATATGAATACCATATTTTAAAGCATTTTCTTCAATATAAATCTTTAGTTTTGCTGATATTAATAGAAATTAAAACACTTTCCAAGACATCTAAATATATTGTGGGCTCTCAACACAGCACCTCCTAAACCTGATGGATGGCAGCCCTGATTGTCATTCCTTGACTGCATTCCTCTTCTTCAGGATTTTTCATACAAACCAGGAAATTTTTTTCCTTGCAGAGAGCCAATCAAATAGTAAGTTTCTTCAACATAGAAGTGTGATTGGTGATGTCACTGTGTTAGGGATGGGAAGGAGTGTCTTTGGCAGGAAAATCATTGTTTAATGAGTTTGCTCTCTAACGGGAGAGCAAGACTTATGCACAGACATACATTTTGAAATATAGAAAATATGGAAATGTGATTTTCTGAATATCTTTTATGCTGACCACAATATGTATTATTATTATAATATGAAAATATGCTGGGTTATTGGAAGTTAGAAATTTCATATTAAAGGCCTCTAATCCTTTAAATTTTACTTGATGTTGTTGAGTCTCCATACTCTACATACAAAGGTTAATTTCCAATGCTGTAAGCAAATGATTACTTTCTTCCATGTGAGCTAAAGAGAAGCATAAGGAATACAACTGGCATTGAACTTCCAGTATAAAGTGGAGGTCCCCTGTCTAGGATTGTAATTAGGATTATCTTTGCCCTGGGTCCTTATCTCTCACCACAGATCCTTCTTAAATGGGAAACTCAGTTATCTGGAGGATGACAGCAGGCTAAGTCATTACTCAAAATTTCTTGTCCATCCCTGGGTAATTCCCTGATTAGACAATTGGTCAAATGCCAGCTGTTTTTGACCCGAGTTTGGGACTTTATTATTTCCTCATAATCCTTCAGAATATTATCTGACATCAGATTGGTAGGTTACATATGCTAATGGTTCTCAGGTTTACATTTGGGGACTGGTGGCAGATATACTTTTGTAGTATTTTTGGAGTTCTTCTCTGACCCAAACCACTGCAGGGCACCCAACAAATACTGGGATGGACATGGGTGAAAAGGAGTCCAGTATTTATTAATTCATTTGCAAGGTGCTTTACACTACAGCACTTCAACTTTTATAATATTTCTATGAGGTAGTTACCTCAACCCTACTGAGAATACTGAGCTTGAGTGTATTCCTGAACCTTGCTCCAATTAATATAGCTCATAAATGAGAGAGCTGGATATTGGTCTGAATTTAAGAGTTAAGAACACCTGATCTAACCCAGATTGTTTTGCTTCAAATTTAGCTCCATCATTGATTTACTTTTCTATGACTTTGCCATCATCACTCATTCTTTCTAGCTACGCTGGTATCTTTGCTGCTCATGACTCCTGTCGACTTTTCTCACTTTCTGTTCCCTCCTTCTGAATCAAGTTTGCTGTAGATATCCTCATGATTTATTCTCTTACCACTTTTGTGTCTTTGCTCAACTGTCAGCTTCATTTTGTCTATCAATAAGTATTTATGGAGCACTATGCACTGAGCGTGGTTCTAGGAACTTCAAATAAAACAGAGAACAAAACAAAAATGTCCTTGTCTTGATAAAGCTTACCTGTTAGCAGCAAAGGGGAAATTTTGTGTAATAGAAATTAGCTTATGTATGGCTTGATTCCCTTCCACTTAGAAAAATTAAGGGAGCAATGGAAAATATCTTGTTTAAGTAAGTTGCAAATGTTTAAAAACTAGCCACAATCCAGCAGTTAAGATACTTTTTTCTATATGAAGTTGAGCAGTAAGCACTGTTCATGATATGCACATTTAAGGTGAGCTTCTACTGCTATGAGGGCCTCATTTTATATATAGGTGTACTTGTGTGTAACGAAAGAGCAGGGAAGCAAAAATTAAATAGACTGTGACACTAAAGATATTTCTGGAGTCATATTAGTAAGAATTAGAGTCATTCTTGAAAAAATGAATTAATGCTTTTGTAAGTAACTTGTTTTCAAATGAACATGAAGATCTAACATTACTAAATGCAACCAATTTTGGCTAAAAACATATATTTGAATGTTTAATCCAGTACACCTATATTAAGTTCTTCTTGAAAAGTTTTACTCTACTGGGGTATAGCCAGGGATACTATAAAATGATTATAAAGTATAGGAAAAATATTAAAAAATTACTCAGGGCAGGGTGTGATGACTTACACTTGTAATCCCAGCACTTTGGGAGGCTAAGGCAGGTGGATCACCTGAAGTCAGGGTTCGAGACCAGCCTGCCGAACATGGTGAAACCTCATCTCTACTAAAAATACAAAATTTATCTAGGCATGGAGGTGGGCATCTGTAATCCCACCTACTTGGGAGTCTGAGGCAGGAGAAACGCTTGAACCTAGGAGACGAAGGTCACAGTGAGCTGACTTGAAATTGTATTTAAAAAAAAAAAATTATACAGCACATTTAGCTTATCTTTCACATTATAGTATTTAACTCCTTGTAACTAAATTTCTGATGTGAATTGTTCTTCAGTAACTGTATCACTGTTTTGCCACTTAAAACACTAATCAATATCTGTACCACAATTCTGAACAGGTGTAATATAAATTCTGTCTGAAAGCATCCTTTCAATATGTGTTAATAATTCCATTATCCTTATTCCTCTACTTGAGAGTGTTATATTGGCAGCCTGGCCCTGGGTCAGATGAGACCATTAAACAGGAGGGATTTGGTTTCACTCTGCCCTCACCTCTCCACTCCCCTCCCCAGTCCTTCCCTCCCCTAACTCAGTCAACCAGTCTAAATATATGAGGTGCTTTTTGTACATAATGCCAAATATTGAAATATATTTTTTATTTGTCAGGCACTAGGTAATTTATAGGACACTGAGCTTATGAGGTATTTAAGCTTTGTCTATATTATTACAAGGAATAGATGTTTTTGACTAAATTAATTAGATATTTGGGCAAATTATATGAGGGATTATCTGAAAATTACTATGAGTGCTTTTCCTTCCAGAGATTTACTTTGGAAATCAGTCTATCTGTGCCCCACTAAAAAACAGCAAAATTTTTTCCCATTGCATGTTTCCAAAGAATGTTTCTGGAGATGTTTTTTGAGTGAAATATCTTTCTTTATTGTATTGACGTAATATTTTGCTCACATATTTATTATAGTCTATTGGACATAATTTAAGATCCTTGGTGTCAGAATGGAATATTTTGTTTTGTTATCACCAGCATACTTGAAGTGTGTGTCATATAGTAGGAATGCAAAAAATGACTGTTAAAATGAATTAGTATTTTTATGAACTCTATCCAAATATTTCATAAGTTTCACAGTGATCTCCATTACTGGAAAGACAAAATCAGTGCAGTGCTCACACAAGCAGATCAGTATTGACAGGTGAGGTTTCCTGTCAGCTCTTTGACTAGGACCCAAATTGATCCTCTCTCTGGGAAAACCACTATGTTTGTGGGGTGGGGTTGGCCTTTTTTGTCCAGCTTTTAAGATCCGGGGTACATGGGCAGGGTGTGCAGGTTTGTTGCATTGGTAAATGTGTGCAGAGTGGTTTGCTGCACAGATCATCTCCTCAGGTAGGTATTATGTCCATTATCTATTAGCTATTCTTGATGCTCTCCCTCTCTTCACCCCCGACCGGCCCCAGTGTATGTTGTTCCTCACCAAGTATCTATGTGTTCTCATCATTAAGTTTCTACTTACAAGTGAGAACATGCAGTGTTTATTTTTCTGTTCCTGCATTAGTTTGCTGATAATGGCTTCCAGCTGCATCCATGTACCTGCAAAGGACATGATCTCATTCATTTTTATGGCTGTGTAGTATTCTATGACTTATATGTACCACATTTTATTTATTCAATCTATCATTGATGAGCATTTGGATTGATTCCATGTCTTTGCTATTATGAATACTGCTGCACTGAACATACACAGACATGTACCTGTATTACAGAATAACTTATATTCCTTTGGGTATATACCTTGTAAAGGGATTGCTGGGTCAAATGGTATTTTTAGATCTTTGAGGAATCACCACACTGTCTTCTGCAATCATTGAACTAATTTACACTCTTGCCAACAGTGTAAAATTTTATGGTTTTCTCTGCAACATCACCAGCATCTGTTGTTTCTTAACGTTTTAATACGTGTCATTCTGACTGGTGTGAGATAGTATCTCGTTGTGGTTTTGATTTGCATTTCTGTAATGATCTGTGATGTTCAGCTTATGTTTGTTGGCTGCATGAATGTCTTTTTTTAAGATATGCCTGTTCATGTTCTTTGTCTGCTTCTTACTGGGGATGTTTGCTTTTTCTTGTATATGTTTAAGTTCCTTTTATATGCTGGATATTAAACTTTTTTCAGATAGACAGATTGCAGTTACTTTCTCCCATTCTGTAGATTGTCTGTTCACTCTCATGATAGTTCAGTTTTCATGTAATTGTGTTTTTGTTTTGTTTTGTTTTTGCTGTGCAGAAGGTCTTCAGTTTAATTAGATCCCATTAGTGAATTTTTGGGTTTTTTTTGCAATTCTAACATTTTTGTCATGAAATCTTTGCCCATGCCTATGTCCTGAATGGTATTGCTTAGATTTTCTTCTAGGGTTTTTTATAGTTTGGGGCTTTATATTTAAGTCTTTAATCCACCTTGAGTTACTTTTTCAATTTTCTACATATCATTAGCCAGTTCTCCCAGCACCATTTATGAAATAGGGAGTCCTATTTCCTCATTCCTTGTTTTTGTCTGACTTGTCAAAGTTCAGATGGTTATAGGTGTGCAGTCTTATTTCCAAGTTCTCTATTCTGTTTCATTGGTCTGTGTGTTTGCTTCTGTACCAACAACATGCTATTTTGGTCACTGTAGTCTTGTAGTATAGTTTGAAGTGATGTAGTGTGATGCTTCCAGCTTTGTTCTTTTTGCTTAGGATTGTCTTAGCTATTTCATCTTTCTTGTTTCCATGTGAATTTTAAAATAGTTTTTCCTAATTCTGTGAAGAATGTCAATGATAGTTTAATAGGAATAACACTGAATCTGTAAGTCACTTTGGGCAATACAGGCATTTTCATAATATTGATTCTATCCGTGAGCATGAAATGCTTTTCCATTTGATTGTGTCCTCTCTGATATCCTTGAGCAGTTGTTCATAGTTCTCTTTAAAGAGGTCATTCGCTTCCCTTGTTAGCTGTATTACTAGGTATTCTATTCTCTTTATAGCAGTTGTGAAAAGGAGTTAATTTATGATTTGGCTCTCTGCTTGCCTGTTGTAGCTATATAGGAATGCTAGCAATTCTCGCACATTGATTTTGTATCCTGACACTTTGCTGAGGTTGTTTATCAGCTTAAGGGGCTTTGGGGCTGAGATGATGGGGTTTTCTAGACCTACCATCATATCATCTACAAATTAAAATAATTTGACTCCCTCTCTTCCCATTTGCATACTCTTTATTTCTTTCTCTTGCCTCATTTTCCTGGCCAGAACTTCCATTACTATGTTGAATAGGAGTGGCAAGAGAGGGCATCCTTTTCTGGCATTGTTTTCAAGGGGAGTTCTTCCAGCTTTGTCCATTCAGTATGATATTGTCTGTGGGTTTGTCATATATGGCTATTATTTCAAGGTTTGTTTCAATACTAATTTATTGGGAGTTTTTAACATGAGGGCATGTTGCACTTATTGAAGGCCTTTTCTGCATCTATTGAGATAATCATATTATTTTTGTCTTTAGTTTTGTTTATGTGATGGATTATATTTCCTCATTTGTATATATTAAACCAACTATGCATCCTGGGGATGAAGCCAACTTGATTTTTGTGGATAAGATTTTTGATATGCTGCTGGATTTAGTTTGCCAGTATTTTATTAAGGATTTTTCATCAATGTTCATCATGGATATTGGCCTGAAGTTTTCTTTTTTTGTTGTATTTCTGCCAGGTTTTGATATCAAGAGGATGCTGGCTTCCTAAAATGAGTTAGGGAAGAGTCGCTCCTTTTTGATTGCTTGGAATTGTTTAGATATACATGGTACCAGCTCTTCTTTGTACCTCTGCCTGAATTTAGCTGTGACTCCATCTGTTCCTGGGCTTCTTTTTGGTTGGTAGGCTGTTTGTTGCTGCCTGAATTTCAGAACTCATTATTGGTCTACTTAAGGATTTAATTTCTTTGTAGGTTCAATCTTGGGAGAGTGTATATTTCCGATAATTCATCCATTTCTTTCAGATTTTTGAGTTTATGTGCATAGAGGTATTTATAATATTCTCTGATGGTTGGCTGTATTTCTGTGGGGTCAATGGTCATATTCCCCATATGCATATCATTTCTTATTGCACCTATATGATTTTCTCTTTTCTTCTTTATCAGTCTAGCTAGCAGTGTATTTTATTTATTTTTCAAAAACCCAGCTCCAGGATTTATTGATTTTTTTTCCCAAGGGGTTTTTGTGTTTCTATATCCTTCAGTTCCACTATGATCTTGGTTATTTCTTGTCTTCTGCTAGCTTTGCAGTTTGTTTGCTCCTGGTTCTCTATTTCTTTTAATTGTGATATTAGGTTATTGATTTCAGATCCTTCTAGCTTTTTGATGCAGGCATTTAGTGCTATAAATTTCCCTCTTAACACTGCTTTAGCTGCAATCCAGAGATTCTGGTATGTTTTCTCTTCGTTCATTAGTTTCATAGAACTTACTGATTTTGGACTTAATTTCATTATTTACTCAGGAGTCATTCAGAAACAGGATTTTAAATTTTCATGTAATTGTGTGGTTTTGAGTGAATTTCTTAATCTTCAGTTCTAATTTGATAGTGTTATGGTCTGAGAGACTGTTACAATTTCTGTTCTTTTGCATTTGCTGACTAGTGTTTTACTTCTGATTATGTGGTCAATTTTGGCATAAGTGTCATGTGGCATTGAGAAGAACGTATATTCTGTTGCTTGGGTAGAGATTTCTGTAAATATCTATCAGGTCCACTTGATCCAGAGCTGATTTTACATCTTGAATATCTTTGTTAATTTTCTATCTTGATAATCTGTCTAATATTGTCAGTGGGATGTTAACGTCTCCCACTCTTATTGTGTGGGAGTTTAAGTTTCTTTGTAGGTCTCTAAGATCTTGCTTTATGAATCTGGGTGGTCCTGTGTTGTTTGCATATATATTTAAAATAGCACTTCTTGTTGAATTGAACCCTTCACCATTACATAATTCCCTTCATCTTTTTTTAAATCTTGGTTTAAAGTCTGTTTTGTCAGAAACTAAGATTGCAATCCCTGGTTTTTCTGTTTTCCCCTTGCTTAGTAAATTGTCCTCCAGCCCTTTATTTTGAGCCTATATGTGTCTCTGCATGTGAGATGGGTCTCTTGAAGATAGCATACCAATGGGTTTTGACTCTTTATCCAGCTTACCATTCTATGTCTTTTAATTGGGGCATTTAGCCCATTTACATTTAAGGTTAATATTGTTATGTGTAAATTTGGTTCTGTCATCATGATGCTAGCTGGTTATTTTGCAGACTTGTTTATGTGGTTGCTTCATAGTGTCACTGGCCTGTGTGCTTCCATGTGGTTTTGTAATGGCTGGTAATGGTTTTTACTTTCCACATTTTGTTCTTCCTTCAGTAAGTCTTGCAAGGCAGGCCTGGTGGTGACACATTTCCTCAGCATTTGCTTGTCTGAAAAGGATCTTTTTTCTCCTTCACTTCTGAAGCTTAGTTGGGCTGGATATGAAATTCTGGGTTGGAAATCCTTTTCTTTAAGAATATTGAACACTGGCCCCTATTCTCTTCTGGCTTGCAGGGTTTCAGCTGAAAAGTCAGCTGTTAGCCCAATAGGCTTCCATTTGTAGGTGATCTGGCCTTTCTCTCTGGCTACCCTTAACATTTTTTCTTTCATTTAACCTCTGAGAATCTGGGAACTATATGTCTTGGGGTTGATCTTCTAATGGACTTTCTTACTGGGGTGGTCTGGATTTCCTGAATTTGAATATTGGCTTGTCTTTCTCAGTGGAGAAAGGACTCCTGGCTGACACCCTGAAGTATGTTTTCCAACCTGGTTTTATTCTCCCCATTTCTTTCACATACCCCAATCAGTCATAGGTATGGTCTTTTTACATAATCCCAAATTTCTCAGAGGTTTTGGTTCTTCCTTTTTATCTTATCTGCCTGTTTTACTTCACAAAGATAGCCTTCAAGCTCTGAGACTTTTTCCTCCTCTTGGTCTATTCTGCTATTGAGATTTGTGATTGCATTGTGAAGTTCTAGTGTTGTGTTTTCAGCTCCATCCAGTCAGTTATGCTCCTCTCTAAACTGAAAATTCTGGTTATCCATTGCTGTATTGTATTACTATGATTGTTAGCTTCTTTGTATTGGGTTAGAACATGCTCCTTAGCTCAGCAAAGTTTATTATTGTCTACCTTCTGAAGGCTACATTTGTCAATTCAGCCATCTCAGCCTCAGCACAGTTCTCTGCCCTTGCTGGAGAGGTATTGCAGCCATTTGGAGTAGAAGAGACACCCTGGCCTTTTAAGTTTTCAGTAATTTCGCACTGATTTTTTTTCTCATCTTTGTGGCCTTATCGATCTTCAATCTCTGTGATAGCTGACGTTTGAATGGGGTTTTTGTGGGGTCTTTTTTGTTGATGTTATTGTTGATGCTTTTTTTTAACAGTCAGGCCACTTTTCCACAGGGCTGCTGCAGTTTGGTGGTGGTCTGCTCCAGATCCTAGTTGCCTTGGTCCCTCTGATACCTGGAGGTATCACCAAATGAAGCCTGTGAAATAGCAAAGACAGCAGCCTGTGAACCTTAGTTGCTTCTAATCAGCCATCTCAGCCAACCCCCACTATGTATTTTTTTCAGTTTTAGAGAGGTCAATGCCTTTATTTCACACTTAGCTATATATCTCAACCTGTATTTTTATTTAGATTTCAGGAAAAATGCTAACAAATAATCAGTGGGGATAGAATAAAAATATAAATTCAGGGTATTGCATAATTAAATAAGTAACACATGATTTTGACAAAGTCAACCCTTACAAGAATTTTAAAGAATATTTCCATGGTCTCTAGGACCACCTTCCTCTCAGTGCTTCAGCTTTGTAGGGCTCTAATGGTGTGTTCCAAAGATACTAAAATATTGGGAACTATAGTTTTCCAATTCCCAAATGGTTCATCATCTTTCAAAACAGACAACTTTGAACTTCACTGATAGCAGGTCGTATTGTGATGGTGGCTTTTTTTTTTTTGACATAGTAAAAATTTTTAATTATTTTCAAAAAAGGAAAGCTTAGAAACTAATAGAAAAGAAATCCATGTTAATTCCTTCCACTTCAGATTGATTAGTGATTAGATTTGAAAATTATGATGATTTAGGAGGAAAATCAGACATATTTGGAAGGTTGCTTTTAATACATATCAAACTATATAAGGAGGCAAAATGGGAGAATTTTTGTTAAGTCATCCCAGTTTGTCAATGATTGTTCAGCAAAAAACAAACAAAAAATAAAAAAGCTTAGATCTGGCCACTATTCTGCTCTTGGGCATTAAATGCCAATCATTTTCACTGAGCTGTAGGCAACAATATGTAAGTAACACCAGCTGCATACATCTAGCCATGGGCATTTATTTTTACAGTCTAATTAGTCAAATTCTGATGGATTTTCTGAGTGCTCTGGGTAAGACAGAAACTCAGGAAAGAAAGATAGGCTATGTGAATGTTTGTTTGTTTCTTTTAACTGACATGGTATGGCAAAACATCAGATAAACTCACTCATAATCTTAGTTAAATACTTTTTACTATACCTCTTTCTCACATAAATCTGCATGCTCTGCTTAGTGCTGCAGATAAAATAACCCATAATTCTAGTTAAAAGCTTTTTAGTGTACCTCCTTCTACTACATGCTACTTAGTATTCTTTAAGATAATTAAAATCTAATTCCCTTTAAAAAATTTGGACTAATTTGCTACTTCCTTGTCCATTCTGTTCTCCAAGGTAAAATAATATTGGGAAATAATTTTCCCAAATCCCTTCCTCCAAAAGGAGAGAAAAAGTTATTTGATTGCTGAAGATGCAAAAAGGCTCTTCCTGGTTCTGCTTCCCTGCAGCACTCAGTTTACCCAGCCCCTTCTCTAATGGAAATAGGCTTGGGTAGGCATTCACTCACTATTCTCTACACATCACGATGCAGACAAGCAGTCACAAAATTAGAGCTGAGGAACAGGATTGAGAAGTACAGTTCAGACACAGATTTAAACCATATCATTCAGTGTGGCTTGCTTGCCCTTTTTTTTTTTTTTTTTTTTTTTTTTTTTTTTTTTTTTTTTTTTTTTTTTTGAGAGGGAGTTTCGCTCTTGTTACCCAGACTAGAGTGCAATGGCGCGATCTTGGCTCACTGCAACCTCCGCCTCCTGGGTTCAGGCAATTCTCCTGCCTCAGCCTACTGAGTAGCTGGGATTACAGGCACGCACCACCGTGCCCAGCTAATTTTTTGTATTTTTGGTAGAGACGGGATTTCACCATGTTGACCAGGATGGTCTTGATCTCCTGACCTCGTGATCCACCTGCCTCGGCCTCCCAAAGTGCTGGGATTACAGGCTTGAGCCACGGCGCCCGGCCGGCTTTCTTTTTTTTTTAATTGAAGCTGGTATTTTGACCTACGTTACATGAAATTTGTGTCATGTTCTCCATCGATTTGGAAGATGAGGGCTAAAAAGAGGTGTTCGTAATTATTACCCACAAACCACAATAGAAATTGAAAAAAGTTATCCCATCGGCATATAACTTAAAAATCTCAGAATGAATTCATATGTGTACCACCATTGCAGCGCGTAGGCATCACAAGTTTTTTAAATTAATTTGGAGAGAACTGCACTATTCAATACAGTAACCTCTAGCTGCAAGTGGCTACTATTTCAAACATGAATGCAGTGAATAGAGATGTTTTGACAGTGTAACACATACCAGATTACAAAAACTTTGTTAATAAAAATAAAATATCTCAGTAATTTTTGTATTGATTGCATGATGAAATGGCAATATTTTAGTTAGATTAAATAAAATGTATTATTAAAATTTTACCTATTTTTTCTTTTATATTATAGCTGTTAGAAAATTTAAAATTCAAAATGTAGCTTACATTTTGTTTCCATTAGCCTGAATTACCACAATGAAGAAAGTGCAACCCTTTTTAAATTTGTATATGATGTTAATATCTGGGAGGTCTTGAGCAAACACAATTCAAATTAAGAGGGCAAAACAAAGACAGTGGTAACCAGTGGCACCATTATGCAGTAACTATAACTGATTCCCACATTCGTGTTTCTTTTTGGGGTCAAGTTATTACTTTATTTGCCCTGTATTCTCTGTGATTACATGTAGAGTTTCCCTGAAAATTTCACTGTCAAATAACAAACAAGCCAGCAACCTTTGTTCTTTTTTGTTGTTGTTGAGGCCCAAGTAATTAAACCATAGGAGATGGTTTACTATAAAAATAAAAATAAGTTTCTCTGTTATAAAGGGCAAATAGAGCAATTTATCTCATTCTTTTTCCAGAGTATTTCCTTGGAAACAGAGTAGATTTAAAGTAAATACGTCAGGGATTAAGCCTAGTCTTTGGTTTTTATAGTGTTGGGATGCTGCTAAAGTCATGGGCTAAATACTTTGCAGATATATGTAAGAATTTATCTTGGCCAGTTGCTGTGGCTCACGCCTATAATCCCAACACTTTGGGAGGCTAAGACAGGTGGATCATAAGGTCAGGAAATTCAGACCATCCTGGCCAATATGGTGAAACCCATGTCTACTAAAAAGCTGGATGGGGTGGCATGTGCCTGTAATCCCAACTACTCCGGAGGCTGAGGTGGGAGAATCTCTTGGACCAAGGGAGTTGGAGGGTGCAGTGAGTTGACACTGCACTTCAGCCCTAGACAGATAAAGCCTCCATCCAAAAAAAAAACAAATATCTTTAAAAACAGTTTTGAAATTCCCTGTGAGTTACAGGGGACAGGAGGTGCAGCGTTTCGTTTCTGGAGGGGATATGAGAATTCTGTTTTCTTTCTTCTTCTTTGCTATATAAAATGTGTGAGATTTTGTCATAAATTCATAATCACTGTTCTACTTCCCTGTAATGTATATCTGTTAATGTTTACCCAGTAATATGTTATGTTTTTGCTCTCTCTTCTTTTGGTATGAAGGAATATTTTTATTGATGAGATTGTTTTAATTCCTAACATTATTTAACCTATAATTTGAGTCAGAGTACATACAAATTCCAACTAAATATAAAGGCCAAACCAGCACTCAGGAATTATGGTGTAATGAGACAAAGCTAAAGTGGTTACCTTTTGAAATGATGAAAGGGTGTTACAGAAGCTGTCATCACCATAGTTGTGGGTGATATATTCTAAAAAAACCTGTGCCAAGACCATTCAATATTAAACAATTGAAGCTGGAGATTATTCAGGATTTCATTGAAACCAGTAATTTATTTCAATTTAATTATTAAAGTTAAGCATTAGTACAGAGAGAGCTGAAGTTACTTACTTAAGGATACATTTGGTATAAAGCAGCAAAGTTGGAATTAGAACCCAGGGGGTCAAAGTCTTGTAAAGTGCTATAGTAATTTTTTCTTCTTTGATCCAGTCCTTCATCACTTTAACTCGTCTCATATCCTTGATGATAATCAATAAATTAAGACTTGGGTTTTGTCCTAACATGGATGCTTAATACAGATGGACCATGAAGTAAAAATGAGTGTCATTCCCTGGATATGGTCAGCAGTCACCACTAGGCAACACGAGTAACATTTTCACCTGCCAGTTTGCACCGCACTGCTATTTTTCTAAAATAACGTTTCTAAATTCCTTTTGTGCTCTTTCTGCATTGATAATTCTTTTTAATTAACTTCTTTTATGAAGGCCTTTAAAGATAGTTATTACTAGATGAATAAGAATCTACAATTATTTTCTCTTCTTCTGGACTTTTTCTCATTATTTTAGTATTTTTACCTTCACTCTTTTCCTGCTTCTCCTAACTCTCTCATCTCAACAACATTCTTGGTTAAAGAGAAGAAAATAGCTTCCTTAGTAAAATTTCTTAGAAAATTGAGAAACGAATTGACCATTCCCTGTATTCCAATCTTGTAAGACTGTAATCTATTCCAAGGAAATGTCCAGAGATTATAACCAAGTGGCTTAAAAAATCACATTACACTTTGACACAACAGATGTTATTTACAAATATAGTTTTATAAATATTCTGAAGTGGCCCTTAATGAAAACATGCAAAGTAGGATATATTTATTTAAAAATGTGGGCTCCTCCAGCTCAAAGAAGCTATCTGACATTCTTTCATATTCAATATATATCATTTTCAGGCCATTAACTTCATTGGAATTCACCACAAAAAGTTGGAGTAGGTGTAAATGATTATTTTAAAAAAGGATAGAAAATACATTTTTCTACATACTTGGAGACTGCAAAAAAAAAATTAGATAGCCATGTAGATATATTTCTCCAAGGACACAATATCTACTTTTTTGAAAGTCTTAAAGGAAAATGTCTACTCTGTAAGTTAAAATTTCCTTGCAGCATCATAAGCCAACTGACCTTATGTTAGGGCAGTTTTAAATATCTATTCCATCAGTAGGAACCTCTATATTCATGGGATCAACAAGGACCTAAAGGAACTGGTGTCCACATGCAAATGTTACTTACCCTTTTATTCACCTTTGGTAGCAAAAACCCATTTCACATAACCTGTCTGGATGGTTTAT